ATCAAAGTACATAACTGTGCAAAATATCAAGATAATCGGAGATACCCCATGTAGACACATTTTTCAGCATTGCATGGTTTTCAGGTGGACTCGCTCTTAATGAAAGGGGTGTTCCCTTTGATAATTACGACAAAGAAAATAATTATAATTAATATATGTGATGTGTTTACAGTAAAAGCTCAGTAAAAGTAAACTAGCACCATTYCACTTGCAATATGCAAAAGATAGCGATAAACAATTTAAATCCTAAATAACATCAATGCTGTTTTTACGCAGAAGTTGGCATTAGGCGTTCAAGCTGGGATACAAAAACTATGAAAAACATTGTCTTGACCCCCGGCCCAGATAATGAGGACACTACTGTGTTATCACAGAGGGGAAGATACTATTATTACAGAAGGGCTATTCAAGACATAGACATACGCCTTCTAGATAATTCCATGCTTAAAGTAAAAGTCGTAGAAAAGATCCTTCATGAATGTCCCATCGGGCCGAGGGGAGGGGAAAGGAAGGAGGGGAAGGGGGCAAAACAATGAAAGACATTTAGATGAGAAAAGTTGTGAAATCTAGAGAGAAGTGAGGTAAACTTTTTGTAATGACCCGAAGATAGGGCTCTGTTATTGTAAACTATCTATTCAAAACATAAACAAACGCCTYCTAGAAAAATGCTAAGTATGAGTTTCTGCTTTCTACACATCCCACGACATCTGAATAGAGGAGTTTGGTTTTCAATAGATCAACATGCTCAATAGCCATATCGCACACGTAGTGGTAGGAGGGAGCCAATGGGGGGGGGACCCAATTGTCAGTTAACTAATAATTGTTCGGCCGAATGTYAGTTGACTGTAATAAGTTTACGAGCGCTGGCCATAATATTAACCAATATAATGAAATATCAGTAAACTGTTAACTACTAATATTAGGTTTTGTCAGTTTACTATATTTTTTGGCCCATGGTCAGTTTGCTACTAACTCCATTGGCACCCTCTGTTAGGCACGGTCCTTGCTTAGGGTTACATCGTTAAATATAAATCAATTGAACCTTATTTTCTTTCAACTTAAAGCAGTTTATATAAAGAAAAAGGTATCCTGCTGAGCATTGCCGGGAGGAGGGGCTGCTTAAGCAAGCAAAAGGAACGTATATTAAAAAAGGAAAATATATATATATAAATATCCAAAAACAATGTAGCTTCGAAAGACCCCATCGATTCAGCTTGAAGCGATGTTGAGGTGTTTTGATACAGATTCGTGATCACCAAACTGAACTTTTTCAATCTTCGCGTTGACAATGTTATGTTTACTGGATCACTTTCGAATTCAAACCAGTTATTGCTCTTGGTTTGAAGTTTGTACTAATGTATACTTTATTAAAATCAAAGTTTTCAAGTTTTCAAAAATTGCGCGCGATTCAGATGTGATCYAAGAAAAACTCCTAAGAATCCCCAATTCATGACAAACAAAATATCATGTTATATTTGGAGAAAATCGCACGAGCATTTCATACTCTCTGTTTTGTTTATAGCTTTTGCGCACACGGTTTAAGAAATTACTATTGATTAAAATTATTCAAGAATTTCCTAAAATGTTGCTGTTGCTCTTGTTTTTAAATTGTGTAAGTTTTGTCAACTATTTCCTTGCTGGTCTTGAGAACGAACAAACAGATAGCACAAATAAACATAGTTGACCATTTGCTTCTCAATACAGCCATATTCTACATGCTAATTGGGGTTACATCGTTGAAAACATTCATCAATTGAACCTTTGTTGTTTCGAGAAAAATTAGTTTATAAAAAGGTATCCGGCTGAGCTTTGGGGAGGTATCAATGTCGGGAGGAGGAGCYTCCTAAGCAAGGAAAAGGAACGTATACCGAACAAATAAATTTATAAAGGAGAGTGTAGCTTTGAAAGACCCCTGCTATTGCACTTTACAAAATCTCTCTCTGTGGGCTAAAATGATGAAACACTTCATTTACGTTTAAAACATTTTCAAATTTCTTGTAATAGTAATAGAAGAGAGTCCTCTTTTCTGGCTCAAAGTTCGAGAATTATTTGAAGGGGACTCAAACACAAATTTTGATAATCTATGAGTTGGGGCGTTAACAAAATGACCTTAATAACATAGGAAGGCGAACAAGTTTTTCAAAACACCTTCGATTATCAACTGTCTGTGTTTTCACAGCCAGCGGTGGCGCACTCAGACGGAATGCCACTAAACAAAAGAATAAATTACATAGCGTGTTAGTACGCCCTTTTTGAAGGAGCCAGTCACGATGTGATGCTTGTAAAACGATATGAAAGAGGGTAAAGTAGATGCGTACATTGCATTTGAGCTATACGTCGGTGAGGGATACAAGACCGCTACTGAACATACAGCTTGAAAGATCATATTTGCTAAGGAAAAAGTCCAATATGTCGAAAGCTGATCTYATTTTCCATGGAGGGAACATCATCACCATGGATGASACTCTCCCCTCGGCTGAAGCTGTAGCCATTAAAGAAGGCAAAATCGTCTTGGTGGGAACAAAGACTGAAGCTTTCAAGTTGGCAGGTCCAGGGACACAATACGTGGAGCTTCAAGGAAAGCAAACACTTCTTCCCGGCTTCATCGAACCCCATCAGCACGCCATCCAAATGATCTTGAATCGCTGTATGTACGTCAACTGTGGTGCATACAAATATGAAACGTACGACGAGATCAAGGAACTCATCGAAACAACAGTGGCTGCAACTGACCCAGCAAGTGGCGAGTGGTGCATGTTTCTTGGCTGGGATCCAGAAATGATTCCAACCCTACCTAAGCTGGATTTTGACGTGGTGGATTCTTTTTCAACTAAAATCCCTATAGTTATTATTGGGCAGAGTGGTCAYGTCGCTTGGTCGAATCGCAAAGCATTTCAGGTCGCAGAGATTCCCGAAGAAATTGAAGATCCAGATGGAGGAGTCTTCGTGAGAGATGAAAACGGCAAGTTAACGGGACAAATGCTGGAATCACCGGCGATGCTCCAGGTTATGGCTCGTGCTCCTCTGCCAACAAGCAAGGAGATATTAAAAGCTCTCGAAGAACAGTGGGACGAATACGCTARATGTGGGTTCACTACAGTCACTGACATAGGTTACATACCAACAGACACTGATGTACTTATCCAAGAGAAGTCAGCGAAGYCCGACTGCCCCATACGTTTAGCTCTGTATAAACTGGTTCATGGTCCAGGAGATGAAGTTAAAGCCAAAAGCCAGACATGTTGTGATGTCTCACTACCAAAACAAAAGAAAGACGGTGGACAAAAAATCAAAGAAAACAACAAACTCTGGATTGCTGGAATCAAGATCATCGGAGACGGGTCCCCTCATTGTGGCACAGCAGCAGTTCGCGAGGCGTTTCTTGATACAGAATTAACAAGACTCCTTGGGTTCCCTACACCTCCATGCTTTGGAATGCTGAACTATGATGATGYTTCTTTGTTAGAGACCGTCAAGTACTGGCACGGGCAGGGATATCAAATTTCTATACATACCCATGGGGAGAGAGCRATTGAGCAAGCTTTGAAGACATATGAACAGGTGAGACCGAGTCCTTATTACTTAGATCTTATCAACAGAGTGGGAGGTCTGTACGGGATAATCTTGATTGAGGTCGGAATGTACAGACTGAGTGCATCGATACAATATCTCGACAGCCCTTGTGAGCTAAGCAAACGAAGTAAGCCCTGTGATGCAATTATATCGCAGACATTGATATTTAGGTGACAATTTTGTTAGGATATCATTATTATCATTATCATTATCATCACTATCATTATTATTATTATCATTACTTACTTATTTGGCTAATAACAATCAATATGTTATAAAAGGCGTTGCAGAGCTTGAAGGCACCTGATCGCCGTCACCGCATGGAGCATCTTGGCCTCTGTGAGGAAGGTCACATGGTTAAGGCTGCAGAGATGAACCTTGCCTTATCGTTCTTTGTGCAACATCTGTACTTTTATGCAAAGGCATACTCAGAATCTGTTTTTGGACCAGAGCGTACACATCGTTGGACCCCATTGAGTTTGGCAACCAAGCACAAGCTAGCCTGGACCATTCATCAAGATCATCCCACATATCCCCTGCCTCCTGATCCTTTTGCCAACATGATGACAGCAGTTACACGAACGAGAAAAGGGGAACCCAGCATTGTCTATGGAAAGGAGTACTGYGTGCCTATACAAGAAGCACTGAGAGCATACACCATCAATGCAGCCTGGCAGATCCACAAGGAGAAGGAGCTTGGTAGTTTGACAGTGGGAAAGAAAGCAGATCTTGTGATTCTGAGTGACAACCCATTGCAAGTGGATACATTCAAGCTGGTAGACATCAAGGTGATTGTCACCTATCTGGATGGAAAGTGCAATAATTTGAAACAGTGAAAACAAGAAAAGTAGTTATTGCCACTGAGGCAACTCTTGCTTTTTACCTTACATTTTACTTTTTAATCTTAGGTTAGGGGGTCTTATGTTGTTCTTAAGAAGAGCTCTTATAAGTCATCCTAAATTAATGGCCCAGAGGCAAAACCCTTATTATAGGGTTGTCTATGGAGAAGGCTAATAAGTATTAGATTAAAGTGCCAATGACCCCTAACTCAATGTTTTCAGCATTGATTCTACATGAAGTTAAAAGTTAAATGGTAAATTATTTTTATATGATTTGAATGTTGCATCTTGGAGATATCAAGGTTTATACTCCCAGTATGCTAATGAGTGGGATGTCATAGGAGGCATTTGGGTTTATTTGTCATCATTTTAAAATCAAAACACTGACTACTATGAGAAAACAAATTTGCAATAACCTTTCTATAAATCCCGAGTAAGATAGTTATGTTTTATACACGATTTTTACTACCCCAGTAAATTTTCATATATTTAATAATGCCTACTATGACATCACACTCATTAGCATACTGAAGTATAACCCTTGATATCTCCAAGATGCATCACTCAAATCATATAAAAAATTTTTACTATTTAACTTCATGTAGAATCAGTGCTGAAAACATTGTGTTAGGGGTCATAGGCACTTTAAACTGTTTGGCTATTGCAATGCATGTATTATGACTGGTTTATAGCTATGGTGAAGTTCTTATAGCTCATAGTAGTGAATAATGCCAGTTTTTGAAGTGACGAATGAAAAGGGAATAAAGATCAATCAATCCAAATCTTTTTTTCCTGTTTACTTTCTAATAGTATCCTTTTAGTTTGTTTAATGTATCAAAAAACTGTCTTCTTACATACCACTGTTTTTGTTTAGAACATCAAGTGACAATGTAATCTCCCACGCAGCCACACAAGAATGGCTGCGGGGGAAACTAGTGACGACATAGATGACCATTTTAAATGGCGGCTCAGTCTTTCTGCACTACAAGTGACCACCATGAGTGTCTATATATATTCTCATAAAAAGCAATCTGAACTTTGCAGTTCAATCATTAAAAATTCAAAGCGCCTCTGTTTATAAATGTACAAATACCCCCTCCTCCTTTTCAGCCTCTAAGTCAGGTTTAATATGTAACGAGGGTACTATATAAATCATAATCATTAATATCATGATAGATGAATCTGTAAGAATGAGTGTAGAAATAGCTGTTTTGGGCTTCCTGTGGCCAAGCTTACAAAAAAATGACATTTGTATCTTTTTGCCTCTAATGCGTGAATTAATGCATCTAATACTCACAATACGAAGCAGATTCTCTTAATTTCCAGAATATAAGGGTTCTAAAACAGCCATTTTTCGCTCTCCAAAGATCCATACACTCCAAAGACATTTCATAACCTTCCCGCCAACAAGATTCTTATTACTGCGCGTGTGCCTGACTACCACCGCTGTTTTTTTTATACCGCAGGCGTCGGTTTGTGATGTCGAATTGCATCATGGGAAGAAGAACGTCGCCATTTTGAAACAAAACACGTTGCTCTCCAATAAGTTGAAGAATCAAAGAATAACAGAAGTAATAAAAACAGTTTTCATTGAAAATGGACTTCCAGAACCGTGCTGGGGGCAAGACTGGTTCAGGAGGAGTCGCTTCGACWTCAGAATCTAATAGAGATCGAAGAGAACGGCTACGACAGCTCGCATTGGAAACGATTGACTTGAATAAGGTTGGTATGGTTGATCTGATCTGTTCGCTTGTCTGTCAGTATTTTTTGTTATAGAAGTCAAGTTTAGATAGATATAAGCAAAGAAGATCATATTTCTTTTTTTTGACCTTTTTAGATTTTGTTTACTGACTTTATTGTGCGTGTGTGTTTTTTTAAGAGTTTGAACTTAACTTGTCTAAGTTCAAGCTTTTGAAAAAAATTTTCTTTAAATAATTTACTCATATTATTCATTGGATTTTGATTGCAGGATCCTTATTTCATGAAAAATCATCTTGGTTCCTATGAATGCAAGCTGTGTCTTACTCTACACAACAACGAGGTAATAGGGACCGATTCTTGGTTTGCGATCAATCCCAAGAGAGCACAATAACAAAAGGGATGTCCGCCATGTTGGAAGATATAACAAAAGAATTCATTGAAAAATCTTTTGTCAAATTCTTCCAACATGGCAGCTATGACGTCTATTGCAAACGAAGAATGATCTTGAATAAAATACTTAACGACATCTATCTGGTTATGAAATTGAGCATTGGTGTAGTAGTGTAGACTACCTATAGACTACCTATAGACCCACAAAGCAATGGTTTTCTTTTATTTATCAAGTCCAACCTCTACTTAAAGCCATTGTTTCGTGATAAGTCAAGCAAATTTGCTGGGTGTCACTTCACATCATCATTTTCTGTCTTGGGCAGAATTCTCAGACAAGAATGTGCAGTGTATTTCAATGTTACTCCCCATCAATATCTCCAATATGCTACCTAATTCTCAATAGCTGATTATTGAAGATCACAGGAGACTAAAGACGCTTCAATATATACTGTAAGTCAGTGTAGTATGTTTCCCACTAATATGAAACCCAATCTATTGAGAGAGTTCTGGATAAGTAAGTGTCTTATAGTGTGATTAATATCTTAGGGAAGTTACTTGGCTCACACACAAGGAAAGAAGCATCAGTCAAATTTGTAAGTATATGAGATGATTCTCCAGTATTCTCAGTAGAATGAAATAATAATGAGATATGCCAGCCACATTTTGGTTCAATGATATATCAAAAGAGTTTGATGACAAATAGCTTAGTTTGATTCCAAGATGTAATGCAGGGCTTAAAAATAAAGACCAGTAAGTCACCAGTCATGATGACTGGCCAAATTAGTTTTTGCTCGGTCATACCTCATTTCTGGCTTAACGTTACTGGTCGAAATGGCCACCATGAAAAAAAATTTGGCCAGACAAGTTCCAATTTTGGGCGGACATTTTTCAATGCCTTGCCATTATGTTAAGCCCTTTGATGATGGTTGTTAAAAGTATTGCAGGCGGGCATGGAAGTTCAATGCCATGCATAAATGGAAAAAAAAATACTTTGCCCTTAATTGCCTCAGTCCCCTGCCTGCCTGCCATACTTTTGTCCATGATCATGACCTTGGAATCAAATTTCTCACCCAACATGGTGGTTAGTAATCCTTGATTTCGAGCTCATTATTGTCTCAACAAGAACAAAAAAGAATGGTAGCAGACAAAAGATACTTGATCGGCATTCAAAAAATCTATTGTCAAATTTAACCAACATGATGGTTATGAAAACTAACAGTATTCCTTCAGCACATTTATGTTTGAACATGAACAAGGCAGTAGTTCCATCAGAATTAGTTAATTTCTGATTTTTATTTCTTAGGGCTCGCCGTGCTGCAAAGGAAGCTAAAGATGCTCCAGCACAACCAGCTCTTGTAAGTAATCATCCTTTGAGATAGTATTGTGCGGTCTTTTCTCGTGCAGACTGTTGATTGAACCCTCAACTTTAGCAATGATGAGAGAGAGTGTTTTCCTACTATCTGAAAAAAATCTCCCCATGTAAATGGAGTTGTTTATTGTTTCAATCCTGTGCTTGAAAGTTTTCCTCCCTCTTAAAAAAATCAGCTTTTAAATTCCAATTAGAATCCTGACCAGTGGAAGCATTGTGTTTGGTTTCAATATGATTAATTGATAAATCATGATTCATTATTAATATCTGTATCTATTTTTCTAATCAGGAAAAACCAAGAGTTTCAATGAAGAAGTTTGTTAAGATTGGCCGCCCTGGTTATAAAGGTTAAAATAAAAAAAAAACAACTTCATAATACATTGCATTCTTTTSTTAAATGTCTTTTTCACCAACTTGATAATGTGTTTAACTTTGTTATCATTTTAGTAACCAAACAGAGAAATCCAGAAAATGGTCAACATAGTCTACTTTTCCAGGTAAGAAAGATTTTATGAAAATTTAAAGGTGGTGTTTCCTTTATCATTATTGTGTAGTTCCAGAAAATATCCATACACCACCMAYGGAGGGAATTTGTAAAAGGACCYCCCTACCCCCAGGAACTTCCAATTTTATTCCATACAAACTCTGTAATTTTGTACTTTCTCTGACCCCCCCTCCCCTCCAGAATTTCCAATTCCCTGTTGATGGGGTATGGATATTTTCTGGAACTACCCAATATTCTATTAAGCAGTGTTAATCCTTTGGCAAAAGAAAAGATGGCCAACTTATCTAGCTTCACATTTTAAGCTGAAATATATTAGATTTTTGATTTCTATTGACATTTAAGAAGTGGTTCAAGAAATGAACTTTCAAAGAGTAGAAAATTATTTGAGGCCATGAAACTTTAGTCTTCTTTCAACTGTAGGTGTCATAAAAGACATTTAGGGAAGAATTTTGAAAGAATTTTCTACTCTCGCCATCCTCTACTAATGACCAGGGAAAATTCTGGAATTTTTCTAAGCAGGTCATTATTTTTATTGTGACAGATTGATTATCCTGAGATAGCTGAAGGTGTAATACCCAGACATAGATTTATGTCAGCGTACGAGCAGAGAATAGAGCCACCAGACAAGACATGGCAGTATCTACTCTTCGCAGCTGAGCCATATGAAACTATATCATTTAAGGTATAAAATACTATATTAATACCGTCCTTGACATTCTATGAGCCAGGGTAACACTTAGTAGAACGTCGCAAACAAACCTATATTTAATGGTTGGATATCGGACCATGTCCAGCCTGAATAATGTGCACAAGCACAAATATCTAGCACAAATCATGATGGGAAACCGAGTACTTCTGCTTTTTCAGCTCTGCTAAAATGTTATCTGACAATTTTTTCTTCAACATTTTCTATGAAACTGTAAGAATTTAAACAGTTGAAATGTTCCCCAGTCAAAACCACTAATTTACTAGACAAATGTCTGATGCCCGGGTGCTAATTTGCATGCTTGCCTTGAAAACTTTGAGTTTTCCAATAAAATATTGACAAAATATATTTCTTTCTTTTGGTATGAAGATACCAAGCAGAGAAATCGATAAAGAGGAAGGGCTATTCTGGACACAATGGAATAAAGATACAAAACAGGTATGACTCATTTTAATCTAACTGGGAATCAGGTTCTAGTTTTGATCTTGTTTTGCAATGCTTCTCAATACAGTGTTTTCACAAGACGTCACAGCGGCCATGTTGGTGTACCAAAACATTACAAACATTACATTCCTATCCTTGGGGAATTGAACTCTATTTTTATGCAAAAACTGTGCAGAAAGGTTCCATTGTCAGGTACACCAATATGGCTGTCTTGTCGCGAGTGAAAACTCTGTATAGACTATGCAAAATCATCATTGCAACAAAGTTTTGATTGACATCAATCAAAGTGCTTCCATCGCGTCACATAGGAACATGTCCTCGAAAGCTTTGTGTTTTCGAAATATGTAAACGTTTTGATTGATCTCCACCAAAATCCTATTTTGTTGCAACTGCAAATTTTACTATTAAGCTCTCGCTATTGATAATCACAGTCTGTCATTGTGTTCAATTTTTGGTGCAAAAATTGCACCAATTGGATTATTGTTTCTATTCGTTACTGTTGAATATTTATCTGTCTCAAAGGTCCATTATTCTGAATTAATTAAGGAATAATTAAAGCATTTTTTTTTTCTTTTTAGGGGAAGGGTGGGCATTGATTTTCACAGCAAACATACACTGCATAATATGAGCCTAACCTCGTACGGACTATTTGCTAGACAGTAGTTGGAGTTTTTAAATAATTATGTGAGGGAAATGTCACTTGTTGTTATGATGCTGAGTCAATAATTATTTTTCTTTTCTTTCAGTTTTACTTACAGTGTCACTTTAGACTCACTCCTCAGCAGCTACAGCAGTCCCAACAGCAGCAGCAACGAAAACCTCCACAACCATTAATGCCCCCTGGRCTTGTACCTCAACGTCCAAAAAACATCCCTSCCGCAAATCCTTTAAACCCCTTCGCTTCTTGAAGACTCATTTTTACAGAACTCTTTTTTTGTGTGACTTTTTCTTTCCTAAAGCCAATTCTATAAGACCTCTTTTTTTTCAAAAATTTTTGTCCTTTGTTCACTCTTTTTTGCTTGTGTAGCATTTAGATGACAAGATGCTGGGATGTGGAGCAGGAGGAGGTTGTCATTTAACTCACAAGCTGTGTTCTGCTTGAATCGCAATAATTGTCCAAAAAAACAAGTGTGACTTGGAACGACTTAGCAACCTGTTCCAAGGCCCTGGACCGGGTTGTTCAAAGCTGGATTAGCGCTAATCCCTGATTAACTCTATAGGTCTTATTAAGAGTTAACCCAGGATTAGCACTAATCGAGCTTTGAACAACTGGGCCCTGTTGCTTAAAGCCAGATTAGAGCTAATCCTGGGTTAACTGTAAATGATATGTATAGCGTTACAGTGACAGTATGGATTAGCACTTATCTGGCTTTGAACAATCAGGCCTTGCAGTCTCCTATTCATAGTTTGGTGAGACAACACTAACAGCAGCTGAGTAGGAGATTTATAAAGGACTCTTCCGCAGTTTTAAACTTAAACAAACTATCTTTAATGAGCATTTTGTTTAACAAATAAACTGCTAATAGGAAGTGGGAGTTACAGACACCCAATCAAAACTGTCTTTTGTTTTCYTCATAAATGCTTCATTATCACATTTCAAATTTAACTGAACCCTAACAGGACACTGCAAACTCACAGATCAAACCCTGAAACAATCTCTGGGCTGATCTAAGTCAGGGCACAGCTAACTCACGGATCGAACCCTGAAACAACCTCTGGGCTGATCTAAGTCAGGGCATGGCTAACTCACAGATCAAACCCTGAACCAACCTCTGGGCTGATCAACATCRGGGCACAGCTAACTTGCAAATCAAATTCTGAAACAACCTTTTGGGTGAGCAGAGTCAGGGAACAACTAGCTTAAAAATGAAATTGCAATTTTTTAATACCTATCCACACCATCCTTAACCTTTCCTTGAATTTCATAAAAATCTCTTCCAACAAAAAAAAAAAAGAGCCTTACCCGCCTCGGCAAATAAAATATGCTCTTATTATAAACGAGTATTGGGTTTCCTGTGGTTTACTATTACCGGTGTCAAATTTCCGGCAGAAGTCGTTTGTGTGAAGCCGTGAAGGTATGTGATTTGCATGGTAAGTCGTTTGAATGCTTTAGGGATTGCTATATACTTAAATGTAACATTCCTCTAGGCTCAACATAAAGTTAACTTACAATTATATATCATATGTGCAATTTCATGAATTATTGATGTCACTTCCTTTGGTGAAATTAACTTAAAATTTATAAGCTTACTCAATTCAAGTTAATGCGTCAAGATGCGAACTGTATAGAAAGGAAAATCTTTAACATATTTATGTTAGTGATGTTAAGAAATACTTTTAAGCATTTTCAAGTTATCTTTTTTCCGACTTATCTAAATCAAAGAAGGTTTTTACTAGTAAACTTATTTTTGGCTAGCGAAGACTAGAGCCCAATGACAAATCCATGGGGGGTAAGCTACTATAGGAGGTGGGCCAATACGTTGATCAGCCCACACCCACCCTTTCTCATCGATAAACGGCAGTATAACATTCATTATATACCATAAGTTTAAATATTGATTTAGAATATATCATATACATGTATTCATGATTATTGTATATATTAAGGAATGTGAGCAGAAGCACAATGGAAATACTCTTATATCTTCATTAAAATACATTTTCAATGCATTTTAGAAAGTATAAAGATGAATGTTGACAAGATACCAAGCACTAGTAATAGTTTGAATCCAAAACATGAGCAGAAAAAGATACAGGAAAAGGCAAAGAGAGAACTTGATGCCATCATTCAGAGCTGGAAAGATAATTCTGAAGGAATTGTACACGTTGTGAGTGGAACAGAAAAAGGTGATCAACCACTTCAAGACTTACATGCAAGCTATCCTTCAGGAAGAGAAGAGATTGARGGAAGCAACTGTAGCAGTTTGCAGCTGTATCTCTATGAAAATGAAGCAACACCTTTGAATGGAGGTCAAAGTGTCCCACAATTTTCTATGGCTTCAAAATTCGAAGTACAGAGTAATGATGAGCTGCAGGTTGCAACGGGACTGTGCCATCAGGCTGGAGATGTTGTTAACAGTGCAGAAAACTACTCAAGTATGTGTTTAGAAGATGATAGAAATTTGGCTGTAAAAACAAAGTTAAAGAATTTCAAATTTAAGGATATTTCTGTCTCAACAGTGGTTGCAGGTGCTGTTTGTAGCTCAGTAGAGAAGTCAGTTTCCACAGTTAATAGGAGTGATGGTACTGTGGGCCTATCAGTTGGTAATGACACTACAGACAGTCCATACAACAATAATCAAAAGAAAAACTTTTGTAATTCGTGTAGAAAATATTACAAGCACGCATCTCACTTATCACGTCACATTAAGGCAGCACATGAAAATCAAAAACCTCATCTTTGTAACATTTGTAACGCTACCTTCACAAGGTCTGAATCACTTATTGGACATTTAAGAAAGCACGAACAGCGTGACAAAGCAGAGATGTCCAAGCATGGCCCATATAAGTGCCCCAAATGCCATAAGTCATACCAGCAAGCATATAATGTGACCCGACACTTGCTGTCGCATAACGGAGTAAAACCATTCAAGTGTACAGAATGTAACAAATCTTTTACTCAGTATACTGGGCTGTCCAGACATTTAGTTCTTCACAAGGGAAGTAGGGATTTTGAATGCAAGAAATGTGGCAAATCATTTGCGAGACTGTTTGTTTTAAATCGACACATGTTGACCCATACAGATGATAAACCCTATAAATGTTTTGTTTGCAGTAAGTCTTTTATTCGAGCCAGTCAGTTGTCTATTCATATGAACTCTCATCAGAAAAAAGGTTCAAATAGTTCAGTGGGGTAGCAGTTGATGAAGCCTAAGTCATGTATTGGCACTATTTGCATGATGGCATCATTTGACTACAACTACCAGAATCCCTTGCACACTTTTTTTTGTTCAGTCAATTGGCAACAATAAACTTACTATTCTCCCATCATGGAAATGTCCTGTCTTTTCTCAATTGATCAAGAATGCTGTACTGAGTCTGCATGAGTTAACCATACTTATGCTTCTGTTACAAGAGTTACTGTGGCAAGTGCAATAGTTGAGGTCCATTAGAATAAAAGTGCAGTGAAGGTCACTGCAGGGGGTTGGGGGTTGGACTACTGTAGGGAGTCTACCTCCTTTTATATACAGGCCTCTGACACCATTTTGCACTGCATGGGCAAAAACAATGCTTAATTGTAGGAGTGGTTTTATTCAGACCGTGAAATAGTAGACTAAGAAGTTAGAAGATCTCATTTCAATTCTTTAATTTCTTTTTTTTTTTACTATTTGAGAGTTATACACTAACTTCTAGGAACTGTTTCACAGCCTGAAAAATATCATTCTAAATAAAATCTATGCTCAAGACATGTTTTTTACAGCTCTTTCTTTAACATTGACCCAGTCCAGCTCTTCTCAGTGTCCTGTACAGGATGTTGTGTCTCTGTAAGACCACCATGTAATACTGCCAACCAAAACGAATTCTATCTAAAACAAGTTGCAATTCAGCTGATGAATGATTTGCATGAAACAGGAATTAAGGTCAATTCACCACTTCGGTGCTTAAGCCATCACATGGTATAAATTTTATTGGATTGTGTTACAATCACAAAAATATTCGGACATTGTTCTCGGAATTTGGTATGAATTTACTGACTTTTACTGGCATTTGCATTGCTACGCGGCCACCCCAGACAAAAATTGCAACGTGCACTTTGCAATAGACTGCCGTCAATCAAACAAGTTGACGTCATTTACATGCATTTGGATCGGCTCATAATACTTGTAAACAATCAACCGAAGTTTTGGCGCCTTTTGAATCACACACGCGTGTAAATGACGTCAACATGTTTGATTGACRGCAGTCTATTGCAAAGTGCATGTCGCAATTTTTGTCTGGGGTGGCCGCGTAGCAATGCAAAYGCCGGTAAACACTTTATTTACTTGATTTGTTAGCTTCCTAAATACAAGCAAAATATACTTTTTCTAACTTGATTAAAGCTTTTCTTACTGGTATTTAGAGAAACAGATAAACAAATCAAGTAAATAATTTGTTCAAAAGTCAGTACATTTAGACGGGAATTCAAGAACGATGTCTGACCTTCTTGGTGACCGTAACACAAACCAACACGATTTATAGCATGTCACAACTTAGCGACGAAGTGGTCAATTAAGTGATATCAAGCAATTAGGGTCTTATTTGCCTTTGTTAATGTTTCTATCATCATCACCACCACCATCATTACTGTCTATCATATAACAATTATTATCCTCATCATGACCATCATCATAACCAAATCTCCCATTTCACTGCTACACAAAGGTTGTTTTATGTAGTACTATAATAACGAGATTTAATTACGAGTTTCAAGAATCAACAGGTATTAATTATGGGTATTACTTTTAATAATTATCTCCACATAATGCTTTACATTGGCTATTTCTATACAGCTCAAAGAATCTTTTGGAATAATAGAGAATAGTCATTGTCAYGAGGTTAAAGTATTTAATTATTAAGAATACATTTGTACCAGTGTCATGATACTAAAGCCGTTGAATTTCTGTGCATATGATAATCACAATGAAAATTAGCCTGCATAGCAGCCCAGGGGGGAGGGGGGATAGGGGAGGGGGCAAGCCTTCCCTCTACAGCTCCCCGACCCTCCTGCTAGACAGGCTAAATGAAAATCTATAATTTAAAACTGACACAAGTTTTCAAAGTGCAAATTATTCACAACTATAATCATAGAAATCAAATGAAAAATTAACTAATATTAATTAAATGAAAATAGATCAGGAATATAATGTGGGTAGGCAATCTGCCAGCAGATCTTCCTTCAGCATTTTTTACCACTGTTTCATCACTACACGCTGATTGAGGCAACAGTTGTGACAGGAAAATCAGGTAATAGGCTACAGTTAATCAAATACATTTTACTGGTACCTTTACAAATGCTGATTGATGAAAGTAAGATTGCCCAACTTTCCTGTCAAGACTATGTCCCGATGAGCAAGTAGCAATGAACGTAGTGGTGTAAGAGTATATATGGATGAAAAAGGTTTCGGTCATTTCTAGAAATATGAGAGGTGCTGAATTCTATTTTGATATCAAAAACGAAAATGGTGCTTACAAAATCAGTATGTTTTCACAAATTAGTATTTTTTCACAAATCCATGCTATATGCCTTTTAAAATGTTCCCAGGTATATCTAGGCTTTGTGGTATCATTTTTAATGCAATTCTGATACCATACCAAAAAGCTATGGCGTTTTTTTAATCATGATTTTGATATCAAAATCGAACTTAGCAAATGTCCTACTTTTACAAATGTCAACAACAAAAAATTTCATGTAATATACCCTTTAAGAATAAAGTTCTTAGTCTACTACTGCTAAAACAGCCAGGCCTTGACCTCAAGACCTGTGGCACTGAGAACAGACTACATTATTGAATTATATGCTCATAGCTGGCTAGTGTTGGATCAAGAAAGACCTTTTTGATGAGGGGGATGGGGTTGGGAATATTTAAGAAAAAAATTTTTGCAGGAGATGAAAAGACAATTAAAAAAGACACCTAAAATTATGTTTAGACAAAAAAAGACAGAATTGATCAAGGTCTCTGTCCTTCCTTCCCCTAATCCCCTCTCCAAAAAAGGTCATTCCCTTTTACCCTTGACTGGGCTAAACTAGACCAGCTAACTAGTAATCTACATGCTGAAGGATTCTGCATAAAGCTTTTAGACACATTTCTAATAAGGTCTAGCCCACTTTTGATATATGCTTTGCTTGCCATGCACAAAGGTTTCCACGTAAGGCTTCGTGCATAATACTTGGTGATTTTTGGCGGGAGAAAAGAAGAGAGTCTTAATTTAGCACTGAAACTGTTGTGTGTGACAGGCAAAGGATATCTCAGAAGTGGGCTATTTGTAGAATAAAGTTATAATACTTTTTGAATAGATCTACCCTAGCCTAGAAAAAAATATACTTGAACAGTCTTGTATTAGGGCTTTTACCCTTGTTTTAGATGGCATAAGAAATTGTTCTAAAAGCTCAATAAAGGTTACTTATACTATTTCAATGTACAATTGTTAACCAGTTTTGAACTTTGTTGATAGTGTCCCTTTGAAAATGTTGACATGCTTATTAATTAATGTACCATTTAACTTGGGGGAAATTTATAAGACTTTGATTTAGTGTGATAACATGACTGTAACCATGTTGGATGGTAGGAACAATACAATCATTTTACATGATTATTCATCATATTTATAGACCTTTCCTGAATTTGTCCGAGTAACAAGAAAGGACTTGATGTGTTCATACATTTTATACTGTATTTATCAAGTTCCTCAGAACAAAGGGATTCTATATTCTGTCCTCTAACATGGATGTGATGTTCATGCAAAACTTCTCAACATGTATGTTATGATGGTCTGTTTAAAATAGGCAGTAGTCAAGCTACATCGAGTCTAACCATCAAAAAGGAAACAGAACATCATTTTCAGCAGCAAAAAATTGGTGTATAATTACCCTTTTGTCTCGACCATCCAACAAGCTTCTGTAAATTTCCAACTCTTAATTTTCCAATATCTCATTTTTTGTTCTGTTTGTTATTCGTAAGACTGTAGTCTTGAGATGATCATTAAGTCTTAATGAGATTAAACTGCTAACTTGTGCTATCGACCTTGAATCCCTGGCCATTTAGAATAGAACAAGATCTTGAAAGGAATTATTGAAGAGACTAAACTTTATAAGTATAGTTTTTCTAAAATGGACCATTAACACTGTTTCCATTCCTACACTCTGATGAGGAGTAAATTCGCAACAGCACAACTGTCAATCAAATTGGTAGAGTAAAAGGTACATGGGAAAGTACACTGCAAATTTATTTGATTATCAGCAGTCTATTAGCAATAATCTGTTGTGAATTTTGCCTCAATCCACATCAGAATAGTAGGTTTAATTGACACTATCCTTCATCCCTCATTTGTGGAAAAGTTAATGCAGTAGCAGATCACAGACTTATTAAAATTTCTTTTTGTTCTTGCAGTAAATAATTTCCCCAATTACTTCTCTGGTGGACTAGCACACAGCAATTTTGAGAAAAATTAGTATAAACAAACTCATGGAATCTTTATCACAACTTAGTTCTGATTGGCTACATCACTATCGCGGGCAAATTATGCTAAAAATGATGACCATTGGACAATGTTCAAACAGAATTGGAAGTTGTCCAGTCAAAACTTTGCCTTTGCTGGTAGTTTTTGACCAGGAACGTTGAGCCAGAAACGAGGTATGAAAGAGTTATTTAATCCTGACCAGCGACTGACCAGCCGTTATTCTTAGCACTGGTAGTTATTACTTCATAAATCATGAGTAGAGATGGAATTAAACAAATCAAAGTACTGCCGATGATTGCAATGTCTTTTGTTATTTTATAAATTATACTCTCGAACTTGTTTGCTTATACTAAAACAATGGGTTATTTGGATGCCTCCATGGTCTACAGTTCAAGTATTTATGGCTTGTGGTCCAAGTCAGGCTACTGGTATTAGAATATCTATTGTTGCAAATGCCTCCCAAGAGGAATGACTGCAACAGTAATGTTGCGATGCAATTTTAAGGTGTACAAAAATTGAAATATTTTCTCAGTGAAACATAAAAAATACAAGAGGGTGAATCTGTTAGAGAGCTATATATATTTTTATATATTTGCAAACTTGGACTGGAATTTGTTYGTTATATCTGACAGGATAATCACAACATTGCCTAAACAGACAACACGATTATTTATCAATAACAATTATTCGCCTAAGGAGAAGTAATTATTAGTGAATATTTACCGAGCCGCAAGTCTTTGAACAGCGAGGTAAATATCTACCATAAACACTGAGCCTGACGGGAATAATCGTCCTAGTATAATTTCAGACTTGAATTTCAGAGGAAAGATGAAATTCAGGGTTAAAAAACGTTTCTGTATCACTTCCACTCTGGCAAACTTAGGGAAACCTCAAAATCACTGCTCAAGCACTAACTATCATCTCAGAATCACTGGTCACTCAACCAATCACAGCGTGCGAAACTCTACATTTAAGTCTAAAATTATACTAATTAATATACAAATATACTAAACATTTTCAATGTACCCTCTAAATGGAATTTTTTTAGAACAAAAAGAATGCCTCTTGTTCTATACACATTGCTATAAAAGAAGAATCCACAATTGCTTACAATTTCCTAGACACGTTCACGGGATTAAGTTGCGCTGCTGTACTTTTAGTGTCCGTGCTTCCCTTTAAAGTTTCCATTTTTTGTTATGAAGTTGGATTCTTGTGGTATTAAACTAGGTGTTTTAATCATGATTTGTAGTTATTGTTGAGCCATGTCAAGCCTTCATAGAGGCCATCACCTGTAGTTGCACATGAAGGTTGAACATACCACTTTCTATCTCTGTATTTCGAAAGGTTAAATCTTTCCTCAATTTGATTAGGCTTGAGTGCTGGAATAGATAACCAAAAGCATTAATACATAATACCACAAACATACAATGGACTACTTTAATGATACGGCGGCCATCTTGCCAGGGGGCAAAACAAAACAAAGATGATGGAATATACACCTACTTGCAAGAAGGTTGTCATACAAGAATAGAACATTAGCAATTTAGTGAGAAAGGAATACATTAAAAGACAAAAGAAAAAGTTCAGCTTCAGTGATTTTCTTTTGTTTTTTAATATAATTCCTATCCCACTAAATCACTAATGTTCTATTTTCGTATGACAACGTACTTRCAAGTAGGTGTACATAGAATTTTGTGCATTTGTCTTTTTTTTATGAGTAAAGGTGATCGCTGTCCTACATTAATTCATCTTTTGTTGTATTCTCTTGTGGAGAACTGGCTCTCTGAACACCTATAATGCCTTGYAATCTAAGATGGCAACTGTATCATCAAAGTAGTCCACCATCAACAGATACATGCAGACATACAGACATTCAGGCATACAGACATTCAGACACTCAGATTAAATAAAAGAGAAAGACAGACAGACAGACAGACAGACAGACATTTAGATAATAACAAGAGAAAGTAAGACAAACAGACAGAACAATAGACAAAAACACAGAGATTAATGTAGACAAACAACCAGACAAACAGACAAACAACCAAAATGAAATACAGGAATATGTGTAAAGAGCCTGACAATAAGAAGCAAAMATAAAATGAATGAAGAAAGATAGACAGGCAAAGAGAGACAGACAGACAGACAGAGATCAATGCTGAAAGACACCCAGACAGTGATGTACAACTGTACAGACTGCATTAATTTCTTTTCTGAAACGCCAAGAAAGGAATAAACAAATGAAATTTAATACTTTTACACAAGTGAATATAATGACGTCTTATGCTCATTTGTCAATTTCTGCTTGCAGAGATAGATAGAATTTGAACAAAAGAAAGTTCTCTCTCTCCATTATTTATTAAATTCACTTGGAGATACTAAAATAGTTATTTGCGGCAGGCTCAGTGAATATCGGGGATCATTATATACCAAGTGTCAAAGTTCAATTTTCCTCAATTTCTATTGGTCGAGATTGTGTCACGTGAACGTTAAGAAATTTGACTGTTTCCTGGCGACCATTCGGAAATCAGAAAGCAACACATTTGAGCGCGCCTTTGACACGTCATATTTTCTTTGTAAAGAAGTGCATATTTATTAAGTTGTAGGTTTGCATAAAAACATAATAACATTAAAAATATTATTCATTTCTCCATTTTTGTTTTGTTCTCTTTGACACTTGGTAATAAAGCACTTATTTATTGGGACCTCGGGAGAGCAGTATGTTTTGTGGTCCCTCAATTGCTGGTCTCGGGACCACAAAACATACTATTTCCCTTGGTCACAGTAAATAAGTGTTAAATATTTACCTTGAAACTCAAAGACTCGTCTCTCGGTAAATATTCACCGATATTCACTTTTCCTTCGGCAAATATTTGTTAAATATCCAACACAAAACTCACCATCAGGTAAATCCATTTTGTTAGCAAATACTAATATAATACAATCTTTCATTTCCCTGTCATTAATGATCTTGTGTAGTTCGTCTTTAGCTTCGTCAATCCTATCATGATCTGCAGAATCTACTACAAAAATTAGCCCTTGTGTACCAGTGTAGTAGTGCCGCCACAAGGGCCGAATCTTGTCTTGACCTCCTACGTCCTATTATGATTGATATAAAAATTTGTTTTAGCTCAATTCACCTTTTTGGTGCTAGCTTGGATTGTGTTACAGTCACCAAAAAGTTCGGAAAAGTTCTCGGATTTCCATACAAATTCACTGACTTTAAAGAGAAAATTTAGGTAGATTTCTTTAGTTAGCTCTCTTAACAGCAGTAAGAGAAGCTTCAATCAAGCTAGAAAAATGATCATTTACTTGTATTTAGAGAACTAACTAAACATTAACCAAGTCAATAGTTCATTTAGAGTCAGTACATTTGTACGGAAATTCGAGAACAATGTCTGAACTTTTTGGTGACCATAACACAATCTAAAACAATTTATACCCCGTGCCGGCTAGTGCCGAAAAGGTGAATTGGAAAATAAACTACAGGTAGTGACTGTACTATAACAGTAACGCCTCTTTTCCATTCCCCAACTCTGTGTCATGTTATTCTAATTCGATCATGGAACTAGGGCAACAGGTTTGGTAGCCACATGCTATTACTACAGTTTTCGATGGAACACGCTGATTAAGAAAACATTTGCAACAAGGAAATGGGCAAAAGACTACCTCAATGAAAAAAAATTGTTTGGTACCTTAATGCAGAATACTCTGATTAAAAGCAGCATACTCTGATTGACATAAAGCAGTTTTCGTATGACTGTGAAAAGCTCAGTGCCATAAGCATGACATGCCTTGCCTGTGATACTTTCTAGAATTTTAATTGGCTGATTTTTTCATGTGCAATATGATTGGTCTAAAAGTGCAGTGATCTTGGCGTGACCGTATCCACACTGTGTTCATGCCATGTTCCGGGTATTTGATTGGATTAAGAGTAAATTCTCGTGCAATGTGATTGGTCTGGCAAATCCCTTGCCGTGTCACGACCGTGTTCTTGCCGTGAACTTTTCACAGTCATACAAAAACTGCTCTAGCTATGAAAACTGTGTCAATTGCTACCCTCATAAAACGAAAACCATTTATTTTTACTTATCTATTCCAGTTACCTTATTATCATTTTTGTATTTAACACACTTACCCAGTCCCAACTGCTAACGACTAGTAATTATCAGTTTAACACATCATTACTGTCTTTCCACTTACCCAAACATTAAACTTTATCTTTTTGTAAGTGACTGTTTCAACATTGAATCCCACAGTAGGAATAGTAGTGACCGACTGTCCCAATTTTAACTTGTACAGTATAGCTTAGCATGAATTAAGGGGTTCTACAATCATTATTTTGATGATCTAGTAAGCTTGACATTTGAACTTAAATGTATAAAATGTTACATTAAAGAGGCTTTGCACCATCACATGATGGAAGCCATGACAATAGGCACACTAATAGAGTGGTTCTCCCCTGGGAAAATGTATTCTTTCTCAAATGTGTAAATCAAAATAGACCAGATGCAATTATTCCTGCTTCTCGTAATGGCTGCCATCACTTGATGGTGCAAAGAGCTATTTTATGACAAAAGAAAGTGTAGCTGAAGTATATATTTCTCATGTATACTGTACTCTTTCCTTACTTTTTGTTAACTTGAGTACATGTAGCTTCAATTACCTTAAAACGATTAGGTAGTAAAGGGAACACTATTGCTTTTCATCTAAAGGGTACACTGCAGGGCTTTCAGAATAAACTGGCAGCCATCGGAGCTTGGGGGTTACTTCTAAGTTAACCGTCAGTTACTTTGTCATTTCTACAAGAATTTTAGGATCCCTCCTTCTATCAGATCACAGCCAGCTATTTCACAGTTATGACCACCTACTTCAAAACATTCTGAAAGCCTTGCATTGTAGTTTTCCTAGGAAACCAACCGAAGAGTGTTTCCTAGTGTAATGGAAAAATTCACCTAGATTTGTTGCTTCACAATCAGCAATACCAACTTTATATTTTCAAAATGCCTTGCTTACTACATATGATTTTTTAAAGGATACTTGTCTTTCCTGCAGCATCAAGTCCTAACATTAATATCCTCATCTCCTTGTTGCGGAAAATCTTTCCAAGGATGCTCCCCATCTTGACTCCTTGTAAGCCTAAAAGGTAATTAGCTGAAATAGAAAAAAATATTTATAACTTAGTACAACAATTGAAATAAAATGTTGTAAACCTTGTCTCTATGGACAGTTATGTACTCTTTAAAATAAATATTCTGATTTTTTGAAGGAAAAAAYTATGTAATTATAGACCAATCTYTTTATTAGATCTTGTGTCATTCCTTTGAGTATAATTTMTTTGCTTACTAGTAATGCTTGAGTAGAGGAATTATCATGGATGACAAACAAATAACCTTATTCTCATTGTTCTAAATGGTTTTAAATGGGGGACATGAAGTAAAATTTGATTGGATCTATTAAATAAGTTAATGCATAGCTACCAAACATTTTTTTTCATTTATTTTCAACACAAAATAAAATAAAAGTSTAAAATATTGAGAAACTATTCTTTTCTCTTGACTTAATGAGAAATATCTTATGAACCATTTCACTTTCTATGGCTAATTTTGGCAATATCAAATTATTTATATTTATATTCAAAAGTACAATTTTATAGTTCAAAACTTTTGTACTATTTAACACCTGTTGTTCAATGCATTCTTGTGAACCCTATTGTACCAGTTCTTCTTAGGGGTCCGACCCTTTGTGTGTCACCAATGGAAACAAAAAAACTCAAGAACTGCTAACTGGATACAAAGATCCAGTTTAAATTTATATCATGGTATAGAAAACCCAGAAACCTGGGTTTGGCACTAACTGAGAACCCATAAACAGCTTGTATAAAGATAATGTATATGAATATATCTATTCGTAATCATATATACATATATATATACATTCCAGACAAATCTACTAAAGCCACTGAATTGGTTATTTTGTGGTATCTACGAGGTAACGGAATGTTAAGGAATATTTAGGCCAATTTTACAGAAAAAAATACCATGTACAAAAAAATTTAAATGTCAGATTTCCAAAGAAAAGGTGAGAAACATGGTAATCTCTGTAAAGACACAATGATGGAGTTTCTGAAACAAACATTGACAAAACCAAATGTAAACAAATAACTTCAATAATAATCTCTAATTTAAACAGTAATATGGGGAATTGTTATATGCTAAAAAGAAACCATTTGAAGTGACAATTTGATATTACAATTCAAAAAAAAATTCTATTTGGTGAGTAGTGTTTATGGTTAATGAATCTTAAAACAGCCTGATTCAGGATATGAAAACGTTACAGAGGACTGCCAAAAATATTATTAGAAGTTTTAAAAAAATGACAAGGTTTACTTAGCACTAATTTTAAGGAGGGGGGAGGATGTTTAAAAAAATTTCAAACCCTATGGGTTTTATATCTGCAACGAGATTAGAAAGATGGTATTTTAGCTTCTAGAATTAACAATGTTAACAATGTCGCCGGTCAAAGCCATGCATCAAAACACTCAAAGATTTCGCTAACCAAGCTCATAGTTGAAGCTAAACTTTTCATTTTTGAGATGTTATATCTAAGTATTAGTCAAAGGGGACTATAACTGGTATAAGAAGCGTTGGGTTGTCGAGATGGGGCTGATAAACGTCGGGATGTGAAGTCTTGGTTGCATTAGACAACAACATGGTCAATATGACGCGCGCAGAACAATTTCTTTATCGTTTACGAAAGCATTTCGAGTGTTTCACTTTCACCCAACTTTTAACTACTAAACATAGACCACAGTTCTTAGAATATTTCATGATGTTATACGGTGTCAAAGGAAACGCTTGAATAGCAAACGAATCATACCTACACACAGTTGAAGAGTTGAGCCCTAGAGAAGTTCGCTTGCCGAGCCCAAACTAACGCCCAGCAAAAGAAATCAGTATTCCAAGTCTTTAAATACAAATCCAACGTTCCCAAGGCGGAAAATAGTCCCTTCTTTAAATGTASTAGCGTTTAGTTTTGTCTTGTTAAGCTTGGGTGGTTAAATTTAGTCGCTTTTTCACCTTCAACTTCAAGACTTCGCTAGAGAACTTTTCCGCCATATTACACGCCTATCGTCGAAAGGCATTGTGGAGCTCGTTTAATTTTCGCTGGCTACTCGGAAATAGTTCGTATTTTCGATTTTCTACGAAGGTTAAACGGACACAGAACGACATCCGGAAAATATTCAGTTTTGAATGTTTTCCGCATCGCGTTACGATATTTGAAATTCTCTAGAATCCAAAGATTTATTGGTGCGTTACATAAACTGTGACTCATTAAAAACAGTGGGGAAAAAGTCTGGTTAATTTACTCTGAGTTGGATAGTATAAAGAAGGAATTTATGTTGAACATTATCAAATCAGTTGTACGTACTTCGGAAAAGAGGGGACATAAAATCAAAGTAACATAGAACGCAAAGAAAAAACTATTAACAAGTGCAAAAAATCGTTGACTCAGAGACTACGCTGGGGAAAAATTACTCGAAAATCTCATAATTCATATATTATTTTCATAAGRATTTCTAGTGAATGATAACGAAAAAATAAGAAGGAAATCAAGAAAAAGGTGTTAATATAACTCCAGTGAGACTTTAGATCTAAAAGGTATAATATAAGGGACCGTTAATTT